TGCTATGTATTTCTTCAGTTCAAACTTTCAGTGCTTGTTACAAAAAAAACATTCCCATTAGAAAACTAGGAATATATTCTGGATGCAAAGCAGTTCTTGCAGATCAGATAGGTTTAAGGTCATTTCCAGATCAATTGATGAATGACGGTGAGAAGTTGGGCAGATGTCTTCCATTGGCACCTCGTATGAACTTTAAGGTCTTACTCTCCTTGAAGAAAACCTAGGCTGTTTTGCATCCTTTGTAAGTGGTGGTGAGCTAACATTTATATTTAATTATTTAGCAAATATATAAAAGTAAAGGTTCCCCTCGCACATAAGCGCTAGTCATTCCTGACTCGGGGGGGCGGTGCTCATCTCTGTTTCAAAGCCGTGTGTGAAGACGTCTCTGGCATGACGTGGCCAGTATGACTCAATGCTGAAGGTGCACGGAATGCTGTTACCTTCCCACCAAATGTGATTCCTATTTTCTACTTGCATTTTTATGTGCTAGGTTGGTAGAAGCTGGGACAAGTAATGGATGCTCACTCCATTATGCAGTGCTAGGGATTCAAACTGCCAAACTGCCGACCTTTCTGATCGACAAGCTCAGCGTCTTAGCCACTGAGCCACCCTTTGCAAATATATACGGTTACCAAACTCATACATAGGTGATTCTAGGCAACTTACAACATTAAAAAAATTGGATGAAAAGGGAAATGTCTTTAAGTTAAAAGTCCAGTTGCCTTTTGAAAAAGCATCTTCGTGACCACCATGACCTGGATGACTGAGAATCTCCGTAGACAATGAAGAGAGATGTTACCATCAACTTAGAAGCAACACTGATCTTGTACCCTGAAACTCTGAGCACCAAACTCAAGTATAAGAAAGTGGCTCCTGGATGTTTATAGGGATATGAAAGGAGAAGATAATTTCATCCCTAAATCCTGTGTAGTCTTATCTGATTATCTGCTTAGGTTTGGGACTGCTGGATTCCCTTTACAAACATATTTCTACCGGATTAGTTTATCCCCAGGAGATATCTGCAGCCTTCTGGCTATAAAACTAAATACATAAATAAATGTATGAAGGACAGCATATGTTAGCTTTGAGTTGTCGTGGGTCAGCGCCTATGTTTTATTACAAGATGCTTTGTTGATATAAAATACTACCAAGCCCCAAACAAGGAATTAATACAGAGGTTTACAATATATTTACATTTTTCCCCTTTATAGGATTAACTCTTCAGGCGGGTTGCACAAAGTCTTTTCAGTTCAAAGGACAGACTAACCTGTGGTTGCATAGCAAGGATCACATTCTACAAGGGGGAGAACAATAGCTGGTTTCCCATCTGATAAAAGTTTTAAAGACTTTTATGAATGATTCTTAGTGTTCTCTGAGCTTCTTCTCTCTCCTCCTCTCTCCTTACCAAACGCAGAAAGTACCAAGAATCCCTCATTTTAACCTTGAGCCTCAAATATTTTCCTTTATTGATACATTATTGGGTGTTTGTTCCTGCAAGACTTACTTCCTTCCTTCCTTCCTTCCTTCCTTCCTTCCCTCCCACCTTCCTTCTTTCCCTCCCTCTCTCCTATCTACCTTCCCTCCTTCCTACCTCCCTGCCTTCTTTCCTTTTCCTTCCTTTCTTCCTTTCCTTCCTCTCTCCTATCTACCTTCCCTCCCTCCTACCTCTCTGCCTTCCTTCCCTCCCTCCCCCTCCCTACTGCCTTCCTTCCTTCCTCCTTCCTCCCTCCTCCCTCCGATCTACCTTCCCTCCATCTCTCCTATTTCCCTTACTTCCTGCCTACCTCACTGCCTTCTTTCCTTTTCCTTCCTTCCTTCCCTCCCTCTCTCTCTATCTACCTTCCCTCCCTCTTCCCTCCCTGCTTTCTTTCCTTTTCCTTCCTTCCTTCCTTCCTTCCTTCCTTTCTTTCTTCCTCCCTTCCTCCCTTCCATCCATCCATTATCATCACCATCATCATCCTTTTTGGCAGTGCTCTTTGGCTTGTTGCACATTAATTGTCTAGTAAAAGGAATTCCTTTCAGGCTTGTTTTTAGAAGTGATACAGCCATATTTTAAAGTGGTGGTCATATTTGGAAATGTTTAATTCATGCCAGGAGCTATTTTCCATAATGAGTTTGACTTACACTTGGTAGCTGAGCAGCTTTCATTTTATTATATATTTATTCTCAATCAGAAAAATCTTTTAAAAAAAAAACCAAGTTTGTTCGTCCATGATCATCACATAAAATGATTTCAGTTCCAGGTCTGGCATTAGGCCTTTGCAATTAAATACATAATTTGTGCTCATGACATTCATCCTGTAGATTTTCAAACTAAGTTTCTTACCTAAACAGATATAAAGCCACCATTTAAGCTTCTTACGTGAAAAAGTTGTCTGGGTAAAATGTTCTTCACTTGTTTTATGATGATGATGACATTTCAAAGGATAAAGAACAGTCAGAGTGCCCTAAATATTTGGATAGGTTTGTTGGCATTTAATGGAGAAAGAATACACTTAAAGTTACTGCAAACCTAGCGGTTGACTGGCCTCATACATCAACCTTACAGTTCTTAGAAACACAATAAATCTTTTTAGTTTCTGTAATAGACCAAATGTATAAATCGTGCAAAGTGAGGCTTCTCAAATAGTTGTCCCAAGGGTGCTTTTTCAAAAGGCAACTGGACTTTCTTGGTTTTTTCCCTTGAAAACCTTTTGCTTCTCATCCAAGAAGCTTCTTCAGTTCCATTCTTCTTGAATGAGAAACAAAATGTTTTCAAGGGGGGAAAAAACACGAGAAAGTCCAGCTGCCTTTTCAAAAAGCACCTTTGGGACAACCATGACCTGAATAATTGAGAAAATCCATAGACCTTCTCGAATAGTCCATTATCTGCTGAATCTCAGTTATCCTGTTCTTAGTAGAATTCCTTTCTTGTCCTCTATATTCTCAGATGATAAATTCTAAATGTTCTCGAGAACATCTTGAACTCCATCCCATTGAACCCTTCAGCCCCAATGGGAGACATCCCTGTTTGCTCACCCGTCTTCTCCCCTTCTGTGAGGCAGAGGGCTAGAGCCAAGGTGGCGCAGTGGTTAAAATGCAGCACTGCAGGCTACTGCTAGATCAGCAGGTCAGCGGTTCAAATCTCACCGGCTCAGGGTTGACTCAGCCTTCCATCCTTCCGAGGTGGGTAAAATGAGGACCCAGATTGTTGGGGGCAATATGCTGACTCTCTGTAAACCGCTTAGAGAGGCCTGAAAGGCCTATGAAGCGGTATATAAGTCTACTGCTATTGCTATTGCTATTGCTATGTGTGTTAAGAAGATTTATATATTTCCCAAAGAACCTGAAGGCAGGGCAAGAAGCAACGGATAGAAACTAATCAAGGAGAGAAGCAACTTAGAACTGAAGAGAAATTTCCTGACAGTCAGAACAATTAATCAGTGGAACAACTTGCCTCCAGAAGTTGTGGGTGCTTCAACACCGGAGGTTTTTAAGAAGAGATTAGAGAGCCATTTGTCTGAAACGGTATAGGTGGACCTATGACACGTGTGCCAGAGGTGGAATGCAGAGCCTTCTCTGTGGGCATGTGCGCTGTTGCCAGCTGCGCTTCTGGTTTCTGGTGCGCATGGTCTTTGCATGTGCCAAAGCACCGGAAAATGGCCTGAAAACTGCCTAAAAAACAGCTCAAAAATAGGCTGTTTTTCTGGGTTATTTTCAGGCCATTTTTGTGCTCTTTGTGGCCCAAAAATGGCCTGAAAACATGCCAGTTAATAGTTTGAAAATGCCCTGAAAAGCCACCTGAAAATGGCCCGAAAAATGGCCAAAAAACAGGCATGCGCACCAGTCAGCTGGTTTTCAGTGCTCCAGTGCATGCAAAGACCAGCTGGCTGGCATACATGTTGGTGCCAAAAACCCAAAGACCAGCTGGATGGCATGCACATATGCACTGGCCAGCTGACCTTCAGGTTTCTCTGCGCTGTGCCACGCATGCACGTGCATTCTGGTTTGGACACTTGGTGCCAAAAAGGTTCACCATCACTGATACAGGGTTTCCTACTTGAGCAGGGGGTTGAACTAGAAGACCTTCAAGGTCCCTTCCAACTCTGTTATTCTATTATTTGGATGCACGGAGGGGATTTAAGGTTGTCCACGGAGCTCTGTATTTTTGCATGGTGGCAAAAGACTAACCTGCCTCTTGGAAATATGCTATCAAAATCTCCAATCCCTGCAGATGCAGCCTAAACACACACCCTTCCTTCCTCATTTTGTTTTACAGTCAGAATTCAAAGCCACAGTGTAAGTCTGCTCTGGGAGAGCTATTTCTGCTGCCATCTGCTGTTTTGGTTTCAGAGGGTGGGGGGGAAAATGCACAGAGATGAAAGCACAGCCAGTCTCTTCAGTCCATGTACAGCTGGTCAGGGCAAACCTTTGTTAGGAGCAGTTAATAAGAATGTGGATTTGTTAAATTTTCAGTGGGATTGCACCCACTGAATCAGAGCCCCCGAACTGATTAAGTGTCTCACTAATCCAACACGTTGAGGCATGCAAATATAAACAAATGTACTTTGGGGTAACTATTTACACAACTATGCATTCTTTATAGAATGAAGAACTGGTTGGAAATTATTTTAGCTTCCCCCACACACCCCGGAAGATGATAACGTTTGGAAAGAGAATTAACAATCAGAGTGCCCTGAATATTGGGATAAGGTTGTTGGCATTTAATGAAGAGAAAAATACCTCTGGAGCTATTGCAAAGTTGGGAATTGACTGGGCTCATAAATAAATGCAATAAACACACCAAATCTTTTCTACAGTTGGGTAAATATGTAAAGCATCCCAAGTATGGGTATGGAGTAAATGTATAAAAAATGCACATCTGGTCTTATCAAGCTCAGGTATGCAAATATAAATGAATGTCCTCCTAAGCAAGGCCAATTCCATTCCCTTGCATTATTTAAAAAATTAAGAAGTGATTAAGAAATATTAATTTTTGCTTCTTTTTTCCCCTTGAACAGGGACACCCCGGTCAGCCAGGATCCAGAGGTCTTCCTGGTTTAGACGGCTGTAATGGTACCATTGGAAGTCCTGGCTCCTCTGGATCAGACGGATTCCCTGGTCCCCAAGGACCACCGGTATTTCTTGATGTAGCTTTGGTTTTAGGTTGAGATTGGTGGTTGACTGCATAACCTAAACCTATCTTTTTCAACCTTGACGGCTTTAAGATGTCTGGGGAATTCTGGGAGTTAAAGTTCAGACATCGTAAAGTTGCAGTTGAGAAATACTGTCTTAAACAGTTACTACTATGAATAGTTCTAAGGCTGCTTTCTTTATAACTGTGGTGAAAAGGTTTGGGGGAGTCTTAATTATTTCCCCTTTTTAGCAGCCAAGCAAAAACCCATAGATATCTATGACATCATGTCAATTCTTTCCTATCTTGAGAGCAGATGACTATCTAGAAATACCATCCTCTTTGGGGAAGTCCTATTATGGTAGTGGGTAGATTTGTACATTATAGCAAATCATAGTCCAACTATAAATAACGAGCAATATTCTAAGCCATGATGTGTGGTTGGTAGACCACAATAGCTGGATTTCAATTTGTTTAAACAAAATTGAAACAGGATATCCTAAATTCAAAGTGTATTGTGGCTTAAAATGTTATCTGAACCATACACTAGTAGTACTTATTCAGTAATATATGTAGCCTAGCCTATCTTCAAAAGTGCAATACCATGAGGGTCTTCCAATAAACACATTCTGACATGACAAATGACATATAAAGTCTTCAATGTATATTAAATTGGTTAGTTGGTTGGGTTGAGTTGAGTTGGGTTGGGTTGGGTTGAGTTGGATGGTTGGTTGATTGGTTGATTATGCACCATCAAGTTGATGTCACCTCATGGAGATCCACCTAGATAGATTTTTCTCCATGACAATCTATTCCTAACTGGTCCTTCTTATCTTCCAACAGTGGATCCATCATAGCTGCAATAGAATGTAAATGAATTCTATATGCATTTCTTAGATTTTTAATTTCAGCTTCAGGACAACTAAGCTTTGAATTTATTCTGGCTACCTTTTTTATTTATTTTTGCTAAAGAGTATCTTTTCCTCTTGTTTTCTTAATTTCTCTATCCAGGGTCAGCCTGGTCCTAAAGGCCCCAAAGGTGAACCTGTTTATGCCCCAGGGATTTTTAAAGGAGTGAAGGTAAGAAATGTCCAGATAAAGGAAATGGAGCAGAAGGTATGTCTAAGCAATTCAGTTTGAAATTTCTTTGGGAGGAAGAAGACAGCTTAAAAAGGGTTATGCCTGTGTTTGATAAATTGGCTTTAGAAATGTAAAGATTCCTTGTAGGTCATTGACCATTGTTGTTGTTGCTAGTCGTGAATTATTTCCTCTTTGATTGTTGTTAGTTGTAAGGTCAACCCATCACGATCCCATGGACAACATTCCTCCAGGCCTTCTCTACCATCCTCTAGTCCATTTAAGCTCACATCTTGTGCTTTGGTGATTCCATCCAGCCACCTCATTCTCTGTCATCCCCGTCTTCTTTTGCCCTCAATCCTTCCCAGCATTAGGCTCTTCTCCAGGGAGTCCTTCCTTCTCATTAGGTGGCCAAAGTACTTGAGTTTCCTCTTCAGGATCTGGCCTTCTAAAGAGCAGTCAGGGTTGATCTCTTCTAGGACTGACCGGTTGAATCGCCTTGCAGTCCAAGGGACTCGCAGGAGTCTTCTCCAGCACCAGAATTCAAAGGCCTCCATTCTTTGGCGCTCAGCCTTTCCTATGGTCCAATTTTCACAGCCATACATTATAACTGAGAAAACCATAACCTTGACTAGATGCACTTTTGTTGGCAAGGTAATTTCTCTGCTTTTTTGTATGCTGTCTAGATTTGCCATAGATTTCATTGACCATAGTGAAATAAATTTGATTATTAGATTCCAGATTAACCATGGAAGCTAAGGATTTTAAAAGTCATGCTTGATAAAAGGAACCACTTTTTAAATTCAACATCCAGATATCTCTTGAAAGCCAGTAGAACAAAGCAACTAACTTCCTATTTAAGTTGGAAGCTGCCCAGATGTTCCAAATTGGTATCTGCCCAGATATCTGTGGAGGTTCTCGGGCATCCAGGTCATGGTTGTCCAAAGCTGCTTTCTTTCACAAGGCAACTGGACCTTCTTGGTTTGCTTTAAGATGTTAGAAGTCAAAACTGAAGAAGCTGTTTGGATGAGAAGCAAAACCTCTTCAAGCAAAACAAAAAAGCACCTTTGGGAGCTTTTGCCCAGATGTTTTTAGCCACTGGGGGGATTCAAAATACTGGATATGCCTTGGGTCTGATGTGGCTTGATTCCCCCCCCTTAATTCATTTTCAATCAAATGGTTTTTTTTTTGCTGCCAACATTTTGACTAGCCCAACTAAGTCGTTCTAGTAATCAAGATTTTCTAGTAATCGCTACAGAGATTGCATTTAAGTCTTTAATTGGGAAGCTATCTGTCTCCCACAATTTAAAAAAAAACATTTCTCAAACTTTTGCATAATACATTTCCCTGCTAATCTATGTTTCATCTAAATGCTTGCTGTTTTTATGTTATTATTTAGGGAGAAAGAGGTCTTCCTGGACTGGATGGCCCTATTGTAAGTTCATTTCCCTTGTAATTTCTGTTTTCCTTGCCTGTGTGTTGCATTATTTTTGGCAATTAGTAAAGAGAAAGAAAGTTTCAATTTTGTTTCCAGCATAATAGTGTTGAATTCTCCTTAGAAAACCTTAGTCCTAAATCTACCCCAGCCGTGGAAGCTTATTAGTTGACTCAGTTGGTCACAACCGCAACTCACATTGTAGACCTCTTATAAGGAGGGAAGTAGACTTGATCAATAACTAAATGAGGTAGACAAGGAGTGCTTTACTTTTCTTAACTGCTATTTAATCTTTACAAAACTTGGTTTCCCTCGCACATATGTGATAGTGGTTCCCAACTCTAGGGGGCAGTGCTCATCGTTTCAAAGCCAAAGAGCCAGCACTGTCCAAAGACGTCTCTCTGGTCATGTGGACAGCATGACTAAATGTCAAAGGCGCAGGGAACGCTGTTACCTTCCCACCAAAGGTGGTTCCTATTTTTCTACTTGCATTTCTTATACATCTTTCAAAATGCTAGGTTGGCAGAAGCTGGGACAAGTAACGGGAGCTTACTCCATTATGCTAGGGATTCAAACCACTGAACTGCCGACTTTTCTGATTGACAAGCTTAGCATCTTAGCCACTGAGCCACCACGTTCCCCCCACCTTTTTTTTTTTTTTTTTTACAAAACTTACAGAGCCACCAAATTGTTTGCAGGGAGGAAATTCTACAAGTAGGAATACAGTCCAACGGTCCTCTCCAGAGTTCCACACTGTGTGTGGTAGAAGGACAAACAATAGCTTTCTTGTTAGAAGAGGAAGATACGAGTAACATACGTCCAGTACAAGGCCCAAGGGTGTCACGTATGCCATATCACCATAGCATAAAGTATGATGTCTGGGGTACCACTTGCCCCCACCAAGGGTAGCCAAGAGACCTTTTGTTTATGATTAGCATTTTTCCTATTGTGGATTTTTTTTTAGAATTTCTGATTTAAGTCTGTTAGATCCTTTTGGGGGAGTAGCTCCCAGAAATAGCTAGTTAGAGAGAAGGAGGAGGATAGTTAGAATGGAGAGGAGGGTGAGATAAACATAGAGAGATAGGATGGATAAAGTAGAGAGAAATGGAAGAGAGAGGGGTGGGAAGGATGAGATAGAGGGAGAGGTAGGAAGGATAAGTGAGTGAGTGAGAGAGGGGGAGGAGGATGGATAAGAATTGGGTGGGTTATTGTGGGTTTGCAGGGGTTCAGGAGAACTTCTAGCTAAGATTCTGTGCAGTTTGGAAAACCCCCAAATCCCACTCCTGGCCGGCCCCGCCCACCCCATCCCACCCTTCCCAAGAGATCCCACACATCCCATTTTGGACGCAAGTAAGGGCAGGGTGTGCATGGAGGCTTGGGGAAGGTGAAAAATGCCCCCCATTTCCATCCTCCGGAGCCTGGGGAGGCCGTTTTCGCTCTCCCAGAGGCTCAAGGAAAGCCTCCGGAACCCAGGGAGGGCAAAAATGCCCTCCTGCTATGGTGCAGGAGGCCAACTAGGCCACACCCACCATGGCCACGTCCACCCAACAACTGGGCAGAGAACCCGTTGCTAAAATATTTGAAACCCATCCATGGATAAGATGGATAATAGACAGATACAGTACATCAGTTTTTGGTTGTCCAATTACTTCCCATGAAAAAGACCTTTCATCCCCCCACTCACCCCCAGCCTCTTATACATTCCTTATGTAGGACTGGGTTTAGCTGAAAGAAAAGTCAATGAGATGAGAAAGGAAGATACAGGTTAGAATCAAGAGGGAAGAAAAGGAAAGGAAAAAGAACCCCATAAAAATTGGCTTCCTACAACCAGAGCAAACCTTTTTCTTGGCTGGCTTTTGGGCTTTGCAAATAAACAGACATCCAGAAATTTGTTTCTAGTTTTCACATCATGTTTTCTATCCTGTGGGGGAGTTTTGAATCTTCCTCTTGGGATTCTATGCTCCAGGAGACGTCCTCTAACCGTGGAATTAATCAAGCCAAAGACAAGAGAGATAATAATAATGATAATAACGAGAGATAACAACACAGTTCTGGTTTTGCATGACATGTGATGATTGTGTTTATGACACTGTGATGAGTTTGGGTTACGAATCTGACAACAGTCAACTCATTTGGGGATGAGCAGGACACATGACTACTGAACTTTATTTCTTGCCTTTCTTGTCCTTCTTAACAGGGACCTAAAGGTTTTCCAGGTCGATCAGGCCCTGCTGGTCCCATCGGGCTACCTGGATTTCCGGTAAATCATCCTCTTTTTTTTGTTATTAATTACATCCTGAATACCATTATAGTTAGTTCAGAATGTATGAAATAGCTACTGATTGTTATCTACAGTGTTTAGAATCAGAATAGAGCTGGAAGGTACTTTGGAGGTCTTCTAGTCCAGCCCCTTGCTCAAGCAGGAGATCTGACCTATACCATTTCAGACAGGTGACTGTCCGGTCTCTTCTTAAAAACCACCAGTGATGAAGCCCCCAATTTCTGGTGTCAAGCTTATTCCACTGGTTAATTGTCCTCATTGTTAGGAAGTTTCTCCTTAATTGCAGGTTGCATCTCTCCTTGATTAGTTTCCATCCATTGTTTCTTGTCCTGCCCTCTGGTGCTTTGGAAAATAAGTTGACACCCTCCTCTTTGTTGCAATCTCTCAGATACTGGAATACTGCTGTCATATCACCCCCAGTCCTTCTTTTCTCTAGACTAGCCAAACTCAAATCCTGAAACTGTTCTTCATATGTTTTAGTCTCCAGGCCTTTAATCATCTTAGTTGCTCTTCTTTGCACTTTTTCCAAAGTCTCAACAGCTTTTTTTGTAGTGTGGTGACCAAAACTGGATGCAATATTCCAGGTGTGGTCTTACGAGGGCTTTTTTTATAAAGCGGTACTAATACTTCACGTGATTTTGATTCTATGCCTCTGTTTACACAATCAATGATTGTATTAGCTTTTTTGGCTGCTGCTGTACACTGCTGATTCATATTTAAGTGATTATCCACTAGGACTCCAAGGACCCTTAAACACGAGCCATCAGTGTATAGCAGCAGCCAAAAAAGCTAATACAATCCTTGGTTGTACTAAAGTACCGGTTTAGTACCACTCCAAAGCACCAGAAGGCAAGGCAAGAACCAATGAATGGAAACTAATCAAGGAGAGAACCAGCCTAGAACTAAGGAGAAATTTCCTGAGAGTTAGAACAATCTCTCAGTGGCGTAGCTTGCTTACAGAAGTTGGGAATGTTCCAACACTGGAAGTTTTTCAAAAGAGATTTGTCTGAAATGGTATAGGGTTTCCTGCTTGAGCAGGGGGTTGGACCAGAAGACCTCCAAGCCCCCTTCCAACTCTGTTATTCTGATTAGGATAGATTAATCTAAGCCCTAATGCAGATTATTCCTTCTTTGGTTCAGGAGGGAAAGCAGAATGACAAGGTGGAAAAGGATTTAATTACACCCCATTTAGCTTCTGATCTACTGTAGTTTGGGTGGGAGGTGTCTGCCCTTTTTCACATCTATTTGCTTAAATATTAAATATAAGGGCATCAACCCAGGAAAGGACGTGGGAGTGAGATTCTCATCTCGTGCAGAGGAGGATTTGGCACAAATCAGCTGCTCTTATCTATTACTGAATAATTCATTTGTTTGCTTCCTAAATAATATTGCACTGTGAATAACTTGAGATATTCAAGGCGCCATTCACCTTCCCTTTTTTAACAACAGTTCCCTCTTTTTATTTATTTGTTCCATCCGTAAAATGAAATTTATTTTTCAAGTGCAACATCTGATTAATATTGTTTCCTTCTAATTTAGGGACCCCCAGGTTTCCCAGGGCTCCCAGGATCTGTGGTAAGTGTGTTTGATAGATTCTCGGCATTCTGCCACCCATCAAATCAATAACATTGTATTCTTCCTGATAAACCTTAGGACAACTTTTTTGCATTAAAGATGGACAGAATATCTTGTGAAACTTCTTCTCTGGTAATATTGTATTGCAAACTAGGACACACAAAACCTTTGCTAGACCAATTCTCGAATACAGCTCGTCTGGAACCCACACTGCATATTGGACATTAATACAATTGAGAAAGTCCAGAGATACTTCAAGAGAAGAGTCCTCCACTCCTCTGCTCGCAACAGAATCCCTTATGCCACCAGGCTTGAAATTTTGGGCTTAGACAACTTAGAACTACGCCACCTTACTACTAAGCAAAGCACATAAAATTATCCGCTACAATGTCAATGACTACTTCAGCTTCAACCACAACAACACACAATAGACAGAAATTTAACGTAAACCGTTCCAAACTCATGTGCCTACCATTTGGGACATTCTCAACTGGCTTCCAACAAGCAAAGTGGATTTGGGAAGTTGGATTCACTTAATAGCCACGTGATTCACTTAACAACTGCAGTGATTCCATTAAAAACCAATGCAAAAAAGGCACAAAATCAGTTTTACAACTGCTGATTAGCTACAGGACTTTACAACTCTACAACTGCTTTGATTAGCCACATAACTGGTCCCAATTATGGTCATGAGGACTCCCTCAATTAGATGTTTCTCAAGACCTAGGATTACAAAATATATATTTGTAATAAATGCATTACTCCGATTAATGCAGCTGTTTGTGACTAATGATATTCTGTCCATTCCTATTGTGTCCGAGTGCTTTGAGTATGACATCAAGCTAATGAAATTAGTGTGAGAAAAGTGAAAGATTTTAATAGTTTAAACCCAAATAATTAGCTTTAATTCCTCATCAACTCAGGTTGGTTTACCAAAACTAATACTAAAGGTCTTTTTTTTTTCAAATGGTGAATGTTGATTAACACTTTTGGAAGACAGATATAAGAAAACAAGCTTTAATTCCACTGATTATTTCTTTTGACTCATGCTTGGATGTCTTTATGTTTCAATTGTACCATTTTTGGAAAGTAAAAATTATAACAATTTGGTGTTTATTTTTGTTATTTTGCAGGGCAGTAGCGGTCTAGTTATCCATGGAGAAACAGGAGAAAAAGTAAGTTTGTTTTGGTTTTGCAATGGGACACTGAATAGCTTTTTCTCAGATCACTGTGAGATTAAGACGATTGTTAACTGTCCTTCCACACGTTGGCCCGTGACCCGACAAATGTGCGAACGACAAAAGCGCGCCGACAAAACCGCGGCGCTAAAACCGCGATGTTAAAACCGCGCCGACAACAGCGTGTCGACAAAAGCACGCCGACAGAAGCGCGATTTAACTTAAGGTAAGGTTTAGGGTTAGGTTTAGGGTTAGGTTTAGGGTTAGGTTTAGGGTTAAGTTTAGGGTTAGGTTTAGGGTTAGGTTTAGGGTTAGGGTTACAGCGCGCTTCTGTCGGCGCGCTGTTGTCGGCGCGCTTCAGCGCTCATTCGTCGGCGCGGTTTTGTCACCGCGGTTTAGTCAGGCGCGCTTTTGTCGTTCACACATTTGTGGTGGAACCACGTTGGCAATTTATTCATGTTCTTGCCCTGAAAACAGGTTGCATATCAAGAAGAAGATTGGGTGATGGAGATGGAGCTCAATTTTTTTCACTCTGTCACTGCTTGTAACATACAATTTCCAAAATTGGCATCGGCTTCCAAATGTTCTCCAGAAAAGCTTCATTTTCAACTCTTTTGGAGGTGATGGATATTAGAGCCCATCAAACTTTTTGTGGGAGAGCATTCTAGAGAACCTGTTCAACTATAAACAATTCCTCTAGGCTTTGGCTCCTTGACCTCCTGAAAGAGAAGGACAATCAGCTGCTTCTCCCAGCATGACCAAAAAGCAGGGGAGAAATGTTACTGGTTCGGGCCGGTTTGCCCAAACTGGTAGTAAAAAAATGCTACTGTTCACCCAAAGGGGTAGTAAAAAAAATGCTTTAAAAAGTTTTTAAAACTTCCAACGATCAGATGTGCAATAATCAGCTGTGCAGCACAATCACGGGAACTTTTAAAAGCTTTTTAAAAAACATTTTTTGTAACTACCTATTTTCCTGAACTGGTAGTAAAAAAAATGCTTAAAAAAAGTTCCGACTATCAGCTGTGTGACAATCAGCTTGTCTGTGAGGTTCCTGCTTGTTGCAGGGGCCATTTTGTGTGAAGTCTTGCTGCTTTTACATTGTCTGTGAGTCAGTTGTGCAGCTTTTGTGTTATTTTTGTGTAAAGTGGGATAGTTGGTTTTTGAGCTCTCTGTGATTCTGTGAGGTTCCTGCTTGTTGCAGGGGACATTTTTTGTGTGAAGTCCAGCTGCTTTTGCATTGTGTATGTGCGTTGTGCAGCCATGCCCACCTGGTCACATGACCATCAAGCCATGCTCGGCTGGTGATATGACCACTGAGCCACATCCACTAATTTCACCACTGCCAAAAAGGTTAGGTTGATTCAGTGGTGGGTTTCAAAAAATTTTCGAACCTACTCTGTGGGTGTGGCCTCCTTTGTGGGAGTGGCTTGCCCACCATGTGACCTGGTGGGAGTGGCTTGCTGGCCATGTTCTCTCTCTCTCTCTCTCTCTCTCTCTCTCTCTCCTTCCTTTTGTCTCTCTGTCCCTTTTTCCTTTTTTTCTTCCATCTTTCACTTTTTCTTTCTTTTTTATTTTTTCCTTCCTTTCTTTCTCTTTCTCTCCCTGTGTGTGTGTGTGTGTGTGTGTGTGTGTGTGTGTGTGTGTGGTGGGTTTCAAAATTTTTTGGAACCTCTTCTGTAGG